AAAAAAAGAGATAAATGAAAAATCCAGACACATAAGATGACTACATATGTATGATTACATTTATGTTAAATTTCTAGAAAAGATAAAACTATAGAGATAGGAAACAGATCAGTGTTTGCCTAGGAGTTGGCAGCAAGGAGCGACTGCACATAGGCACAGGGGAATTCTTTTGGATGATGGAAATGTCCTAAGCATTTGTACTGTGGTGATATTCTCACAATTATATTCATTGACTGAATCCCATTGAACCAGATACTTAAAATAGACGAATTTTATGCCATGTAAATTATACCTCAATAAAGCTATTAAAAAATACAGTATAGGTGAGCTACTGGTACTGCAAGAAAATCACCACTAGTTTTTAGTCATGGACACTGCTACATTGTCTTCTCATGAAACTCTTATTGCATCAGACACCAAGATGAATTGTGAAATATTATGAATAAATGGAAAACGTGATGGTATTTGATGTGGTAGATAGCCTTCAAAAATGGCCCCAGTGAACCATGCCTCTCATTATTCATGCCCTTTTGCAGCCTTTCTGCTGGTGTTGTGACTTACTTTTGACTAATAGAATGTTACAGAAATGATGCCAAGGACTTCTGAGATCACAAGAAGTATTGTAGTTTCTGATTTGGTTTCTTGGGACAAAAACACTGGTGGGAGTGGATGGGGTAGCCACGTACTAAGGAGGAAGTCTGACTACCTGCAGCTTCTGTACTGTGAAGAAGCCCAAGCTAACCACATGGGAGAGAATGGGAGGGACAGAGAGGTGGAGACTGAGTGAGGGCGGTAAGTGGCGAGCCCCTAGCTGTTCCAGTTACCCTAGCCTAGGTTTTGTATATTTGAGAGTTGTTTTGGACATCCAGCCCAGTGTAGTCTTCAGTTGATGCCAGCCCTTGCTGATGTCAGATGGCAGCCACATGGAAGAGCTCAAATGCGGCCTACCCAGTGGAGACCAGTGAATCCACAGATTCATGTTTTAAGGCACTACGTTGGGGTGGTTTGTTACATAGCAGTCAATAACCCAAAAGGAAGGAGGTAAGGAAAGAATTTAGAAATTATATTTGATTTCTTCAGTTTGAAATATAATAAATTTAGTAGCTAGACTAAGGTACTTTAATAAAATCATCTTCAGTGTTAGCCACTTTTTTTGAATCTTTGTGTAACACAGACTTTTTTTTTTTTTTTTTTTTGATAATTTTCAGAGACTGCCGACAGAGTGGCATTGTGACAAAGGTGTTTCAGGTAGACTATGAACCACCAAATATAGTCTCTCCTGAAGACAATGTTGAAAATGTTCTCAAAGATTCTTCAAAACAGGCAAGTTGTGAAACTATAATCCATTCAGATTGTCACTGTATTTTTGGTTCCTCCTTTCTCAGTGGGCACATCTTGCCTTCTATTGCCTTACCTCTGCTCACTGTCAGGTCCTTATAATTGAAGTCAGTATCAACCGCTGCAAAGCATCTTCACTGATTTCCCAGCCTTTTGTCACTCTCCTATCCACCCTGAGGATGAGACTCCCTGCTGACCATTGGGAATGTGTCTTCGGTGTCTTCAGTGGCTCTCTCTTACCTACTAAAGAAAGCAGAAACCTTTAGCCTTCCATCCAAGTCGTCAGTTTCTGCCCTTGGTTGGCCTTTCCTGCTTTGTCTATGAACCCTCTACATATACTCCACCCAAATGAACTGTGTGTGCTGTGCCCTATCACTGCTATCCTGGCACCCAGGCCTTCTTTTATAAACTGCTTTGAGCATGTGATTTCTTTGTTCCTTGTCTATCTTGCCTATGCATTATAAGCTCCAAGGTGGCATGGTTGCTGTACTCATTGCCTTGCACAGGGGCAGGCAGGAGAGGGTGGCGAGTGTGTATTTGTTGAATAGATGTATTGGGTAAGTAGAAGTCCTCAGTGGGCGTAGAATTATTTTATGTTGAAAGGCTGGGCGTGGTGGTTCACGCCTGTAATCCAAGCACTTTGGAGGCCAAGGCAGGCGGATCACCTGAGGTTGGGAGTTCAAGACCAGCCTGACCAACATGGTGAAACCCCATCTTTAAAAAAAAATAATTATTATTTTATGTTGAAACCTTCATTCCCAAATAGCTGCAAAGCCTCCCCACTGTGAAGATTCAACTAGATCCATCTGAGAAGGATGTGTGAAGCTTAAGTTACTGGGCGTGAACGTTAGTGAGATAGATTCAAGGAGCTGGGCCAGAGGATGGACTAGCCTACAGTAAGGCAGCCAGCCCAGTGGTCTTGGTCACAGGGATGTTGTTGGGAGTGACAAAGGAAGTTTACAGAAATTTCACTTAAGATTGACCATGAACCTGAGGTTAGAGAGGAAGTTTTGGGACCAAAGCAGTGGATGGAGGCATGGAGGGGGCCCAAGTGTGATCAAGGCGGGGGTCTACACAGGGCAGGGGCTGAGCCCACATATATCAGCAGGTGCTTAGGCCTGAATCAGATGTGAGGGACCAAGTTAATGGAGAAAGTCCAGAGAGGAGAGGGTTTAAGGACTGTGTGTGGGCAGGTGATGCGCAGAAGTCCGATTTTGGTCTGACCCTACTCTACCTTTGCCCTCTGGACTTGGTGGTCCCTCTGTTGTTACCCAGACTCCCAGGATTGTCACATCCTGCCTGCATGTGCTGCTCCCCATCTCCTGTTTTGGCTGCTTCACCTGGTGAGGCCTACATCCAGACATGCTGGTGCTGTTAACCAAGCAGCCCTGCCCAGATACAAAGTTACATGTTTCCAGAATAAAGTGAAACAGAGTTCACTTCGTAAAAAACGACGGTAAACTCTTTCAAATAAGAAATGCACACCATGACCTCTCTATCATGCAGCTTTAATTCTCACATGAGAATAGTCTAGTGATTGATAGGCAATTTCCTCATTCCTAGGAATTCAAAAATGGATTTGTTGGATCAAAACTAAAGAAGAAATATAAGAACTCTGAAGATCAACGCAGCTGGAATGTTAACATTAGAAAGTTTCCAGGTATAATGTGACAGAACAAATACAAGGTTTTATATACTGAACCTACCAAAGAGCATGTTTGTTGCATGTTTTCTTGCCTGCAGAGGTGTTGGAATAAGAAATACTGGGGCAGGAAAGTGTGCTGTACTTTGAATTTTAATGCTGTCCTTGCTAACAGCTTTAGATGATGAAGGAGGATCAAGCAGTCCAACCAAGTCAGATTTCTTGACCCACTGCAGGGAGCCATGGGGGCATCTCACCAAACAGAGGAAAGGCTGGAGTTGTAGGGCTTGGGGGAAGGGTGGAGTTTGGGTGAAATATAAATGAAAGCAGAGTTTTGATAGGCTCAAAGTGAAGCTAGTTTGGGTGTGAAGGGATCAGCATCAGGTATGGACTGGGAAGGGGACCCAGGGTTCTGTTGCTGGAAACTACACCGATGCATTGGGAATACTATGTTCAGAAACGATTATCTCTGCACCAGGGTTGGACATTGAGGCTGCTTCTCTACGTCAAAGTGGCTTAGATCCCTCAGGTAAGAGTTGAATGTTTCGTTCTTATTGAGAATTTCAAACAGCAAAGTTTATGATAATCTGTGCTTTTAGAGAACAGGGTTTCTCAGTGAGAAAGAATAGTCATGGAAAGAGGGGGCTGTTAACAACATTTTGTAGCTGCAGTGTGTTATTGGGAGATATACTATTTCCTGCCAACCTTGCAACTGAATTGATCTGTCTGTTTTCTCAGCCTGTTGTGGAATACTGTAGAATGCAGCAGGGAGGATTATCTTCTCAGTCTGGGCTTATTTTTTCTTTCTCACTTCTAATACACTGAGTGTGTGGTGGGAGCTCTTTATTTAATTGTTACTTCTAGGGAAGCAAAGTGATGACATTGGTTCCTTATTAAAAGGTCTCTCACTATGAAGACATCTTTGCATGATTATATATATAATTGCAGATACTCAAAGAACTATGTTTTTAATATCATTGTAGACCTCCAGGTAGGTGAAAGAACTGACCCTAAAACTTTGAAAGATCTTCGCTTCTCAGAGAGTCCACTGGAAATCCCAGCTTACGGTGAAGGATCAGGTTCTAGACCACCCACCCACCAGTCCCAGGTAACTTCTAAGGACAATCTTTAGGGTACTGAGATACCTCCTATATTTTTAATGCTTCCCATGAAATACTTTAAGACTGCCCCTCCCACTCTTTTGGCCATCTGCCAGGCACTGTTCAGTGCTGGGAATGCTGTGTTAGACAAGAAGAGTCCCTCTATTCATGGAGTTTACATTTTATTGGGCTTGGGGGCAGACAGATAATAAATAAATAAATAAACAAAATTTAAAATGGTGGTAAGAGTCATGAAGAAGATAAAATGGTAATGAGATAGCGCAGTGGTTCTCAGAGGCAATCCCCAGACCTGTAGCATCAGCAACACGTGGGAACTTACTTGAAATGCACATTCTCAGGCCTGATGAGCAAGGTAGGAGATGAGGCAGGAGGTGGCTGGGGCCAGAGCATCTAGAGCTGTGGTTCTCAAACATGGCTGCACATTAGAATCACCTGAGGAGCTTCAAACCAATCCCCAAGGGTTAGCCTCAGAAATCCTGATTTAATTGGTGATGTGGGGTTTGAGCATCATTTAAAAAATAAAACAAAACCCTAAATGATTCTAATGGTCAGTTATGGTTGGGAGTCACAGATATAAGTCTGCCCGTAACAAGTTTGGATTCTATTCTAATTGTAAAGGGAATCTATTTGGTAGGCAAGACATGATCCTATTTACACTTAAAAGTTTTCTGGTTGGCTACAGTATGGAGATTAGACCGTAGAAGAGAAAAGGGAGAACATCATTTAGGAGGCTTTTTTTCCAGGTGAGAAATGATGGTGGCTTGGACCAAGATTGTGGAGGTGGTCAGGATAGGAGGCGGGCTTGGCTGAGGGATCATATAGATGGGAGGGAATAGGAGGAACCAGTGATGCCTCTCAGGGTTTGTCCTGAGCTTCTGGAGATGATGGTGCCATTGACAAGGCTGGAAAAGATGAGAGAGGAGCAGGTATCCAAGGGCACATTAGACATCCAAGTCGAGGTGTTGAGTAGACTGTTGGATGTGCAAGTTCATACTGGGGAGAGGTCAGGGCTGGAGATATGGACTTGGAAATATGGAAATATTCAATATGTTGATGGTATTCGAAGCTTAGGTCTGAATGAGATCACTAGTCAAGGCTGTACAGAAAATGAAGGGAAGGAAAATGAAGAAAGTCTTCAACTTAGAGGAAGAGGAGCCTGAAAGTAGAAAGTCAAAATAATATGTTACCATGGAAACCAAGAGACGGAAGAATTCCAAGGAGAAGGTCATCTATGTCATATGTTACTGAAGGTTCTAATTAGATAAAGACAGACAACTGGAAATTCCCATTGGATTTGACAAGATAGAGGTGACTTATAACCTTAAAGGCATATCAGTGCAGTCTTACGACTATAACACAAGAAAGATGCTCTTATACTAGTTGCCTACTAGTACTATTATAGTGCTTTGATTTTTCAATGTTTATAAAATCCAATTTGGACTTTTGGCACCTAAGGGCAACCCAGGAGCCCTCATTTTCTTTCTCCTATTTGAGTCCCAAGTTTAATGTACCTGGAGTCACATGTTCTGTATAACCACAACTGCTTCTTGTGTGCCCATGATTCCGTGGCTGCTCACACTTACCATCAAGTATAAAGGAGGTAAAAAGCATGGTTTCCAAACCCAGCTGCATATCAGAATCACCCAGGGAAAATTTAAAATATGTATCGAGTCCCAGATATGGTCCCTGTAATTCTCCTAGATAGTCTGAGTCCATTAGCCTGGGATGGAGTCCACGGATGGCTTTGCTGATCAGCCAGACTGAGAATCACTGGCCTAGAAGACCAATTATCCTTATCCCAAGGTCAAGCTCTTTCCTTTACTTCTAGACTCTAATGCCAAGGTGTAACTCAGCCTGACCTCCTAGGCTCTTCCATCTACCCATTCATTATATTTTTTGGAGAGCCACAAAGCCCAGGCCAGAGGACCCAACCTGGGAAGGCCTGCTTGCAAGGCCCGCTTAACAAAGGGCAGCCAACCCTTCATAGAAGATTGCCTCTCCCAGTCTTCTGGAAAGAATGGTTCTCTGGTTATCAAATGGGCTGAAGAGCACACTCAAATCCAGTGGGCAGTGCACACTGACATGACCCAAATACTGCTTCAGAGGTAAAACATATCATTTTGAAGAATGAATGGTCTATGATAAAACACAGGAGCTATTTTAGAGAAGCAGTCCCACGTGGCTGTAGTTATTTGCAATGTGCCTAGAAATATTTTCTTTGTGAATGAATATTTGGATTACCTTGCCCACTTAGTTGTTTGAGCTGTTGATTACAAGGGAAAGATAAAATAATATTAAAGATTCCAAAATTTAGAATCCCCCAAAGCTGGGAACAGCAGGACAAAGACAAAGTTTGGGGAATTTGACTAGAGTTCAGAAAGCCAGGAAGGCCGGGAGAAGATCACAAAACTCTTTTCTTCCACTCTTTTTCTTCATATTGGTAAGAGAGTCTTCTCAGTATTTCAGCTGAATCCCTTCTGAAGCATACTTTAGCAGACATCCTCATTAATGACACTGGTGGGTATTACCACATTTCAGCAACCCCAGGGAGACAAAATGTTTCTGAGCTTAGCATCTGGCCTGAGGGAACCTGCAGGGGTCAGGCAGCAGAGTAAATGCATGATGCAGCCTGGGTGGAGGATAAATGACAGCCGATACCTGGCCATACTGTAGGGGCATGAGAGTTGCAGGTTCTCTGACAATGTGAAATACTCCAGCCAGTTAAAGGAATCACTCTACCCAGCCCCAGCCAACCATTAGCAAGAAGGACGAAGGCTCAGTATTGCTACATCCAATGAATTTGCATGAGAAACCAGAAACCTACATCTTTATGTGTAATAACATGATTTAAAGTTTTGACAATTAGTTCAAATCTTGAAACACTATGGAAGCCAATGCCAAATAAAACTTGATGACAGGCCAGATTTGGCTAATAGACTACCACTTTGAGACTTCTGGTCTAGGTCATGTTACTTTTTAGTTATTTTTCTTTTTGTAGAGATGGAGATTCACTATGTTACCCAGACTGTTTTTGAACTCCTGGCCTCAAGCGATCCTCCTGCCTCAGCCTCCCAAAGTATTGGGATTACAAACGTGAGCCACTACACACAGCCGAGGCCATGTTAGATGTGGCACAGAAGCAATGAAAAACCTCTGACTGCTCCCTATTGCCTACAGGATAAAGTCTGAAGTCCTAAGCTGAGCACATAGACATTACAGTAAAGTAGGAGTCTGGGGGACTCAGGTAGGCTTGAGTTCAGTACATGTACTATTAATGTGAACTTGAGCAAGTGACTCAATCTTTCTGAGCCTCAGCATCCTCATCTCAAAAGTGTGGATTATATGAGCCTCTTGATATGCCCTGAGATGGACATAATATCATTTCCCTGGAATTGGTGCCAAAATGAGTGACTGAGGAAATAAATCATGAGAAAACAGCAGACAAAAGCAAACTGAAGGAGATTCTATGAATTAACTGGTCTGTTACTCTTCAAAAATGTCAAGACTGGCTGGAAATTGTGGCTCATGCCTGAAATCCCAGTGCTTTGGGAGACCAAGGTGGGAAGATTGCTTGAGGCCAGGAGTTTAAGACCAGCCCTGGGCAATATAGTGAGACCCTGTCTCAACAAAAAACAAATTAGCCATGAGTGGTGGCACACACCTGTAGTACTAGCTACCCTGGATACTGAGGTGGGAGGATTGTTTGAGCCCAGGAATTAAAGGTTACAGTAAGCTGTGATTGTGACACTGCACTCCATTCTGGGTGACAGAAAGACTCTGACTCTAAATTTTTTTAAAAGTAAAAATATAATTTTATATATATATATATATAAACTTAAGACAGTAACTATTCCAGATTAGAGTGATAAAAGGAACATGGCAACTAAATGCAATTGTGACATAGTACTGGATCAGGAAAAAATGTATAACTGTGGCCGGGCGCGGTGGCTCAAGCCTGTAATCCCAGCACTTTGGGAGGCCGAGGCGGGTGGATCATGAGGTCAAGAGATTGAGATCATCCTGGTCAACATGGTGAAACCCCGTCTCTACTAAAAATACAAAACATTAGCTGGGCATGGTGGCGCGTGCCTGTAATCCCAGCTACTGAGGAGGTT